TCCATTATTCTGTTTTATCCGATTTCTTAAACAACATGTAGTTACAGGTTGATACTGACAACTCCTCTCTGGTGTTATCATGATCTTTGTGCTTCTCATTCTGACGTCCTCATTCTATGAATCACTGAGTGTTGCAGACGACGAATACAATTTGAATGATTCGGATATAGCTTTAAGATATATTTTAGCAGAAAACTCTATTCCGTATTCCAATTATATTCGCAGCATAAACCCGTCAAATATTTCGATAATGTAAGATAGCTTGATTCAAATTCTTTCTGAAACTTGATTTGAAGCTATCATTGTGAGTGTGATGGAGAACATGGTAGCTGTGAGATGTTCTATCGAGCAAAAATTCTCGACAGAAAGCTTAACTGTAATATGACGCCTGATGAAGCTGAAGGCCCAAGCGAAGTCAAGATAACCAGTCACATATACGGGTACTTTTAGTAAAGAGAATACTTAATAGACTTATTCTTCATGATCAGATCAAGAGAATATGAAACAAGAGTCGTAATCAGGAAGCAAGGACAACCTATGCAGTGTAGGGCTTTCAAAGGACTCCTACCACTTATCGAGTTGTTGGGGAGAGATCCAGAGTTAAAAAACAACAGAGGTATCTTTGCGAACAATACATGATACAACCTTTCACTTTAAATTTCAGAAATCTCCAAACTGTTCAATAGATATCGGCCTCAACCGGACGTTTTTATGAAAATCTTGGAAATCAGATATTCCCAACAGTACTCTGAATTATTTGAAGAAAGAGAAAACCCTCCGACTAACTTATCATCTCTGATCTACGAACACTGGATATTCTTTTCTGGAGTTTATTCGATATTGTTTTCCTGTCATTTCATTTTTTTCGTCCGAAGCAGAAGAGTAGGCTGTGAAAGTGAGTTGATGAATCGAACCAAACAGAAACTCTTATATTGATTCAGATCGTAAGAAGCAGGTTGTCTATTATCAACAGTACGCAAAGCCTGAATCGTTCACAGTCAAGGAGTGAGCGGAATGTGAAATGAAACTGTTCTCACCATATTGACCATCTCAGCTATGATCCCTCATCGAAGTTTGAAAAATGACTTGCCGTGTTCTTCTTATTCAATGTTGTAATTCTATTTGTGTAAGAGTAAAGTTATCTCTTCTGACATGTTCTATTCACCATCCTTTGTTTTTTATTCTCTGTCTGTATAGTAAGAGGCATGACCATCAGAATCTAAAAACAACTGATTGGCATGCTTATCACCTGTTATATAGTAAGTAATTCTGATGGGCGTTACATAGTTATCAAAGTTATTTATATTCTCTTCTGGCTTTGAGTGCTGTGGACCATCCTTTCAGACAATTCGCTCTTGTTAGAGTGAGAGTAGACACAATATATGCTGTGGTTCTTCATAGTTCAAGTCTCAGTAACAGAATGACTGAGTATTTTATTCGAATGTTTGAAAACGTTCGTGGTGACTACGTTTCACATGACAACAGAAAAAGCTTCATCGAACAACCGAATTCTCGCTCCACGATAAAGAGTTAGTATAATCATTATTGTTTTTGACTACCTGAAAATTGTTCTGCTCTTTCACCGATAACAGTATTGCAACCTATCTATTCTTGATCGATCCAGTTTCACGTGAATAGAATACGATTGTACAAAAGATCTGAAGATTGATAATAGCCTAGTTATTTTCATTGCTGTG